TTCAGCAGGTTACTAATTGATGCTGCAATTTTCGAGATCTTTTAACATTGTGTTAAAATATTTCTTATGATATGTTTATCTGTCTAATACTCTTCTGATCTTTCAGGAACTTCAAGTTGATTATTTCCAGTATGAACATCCAGCTGTTCTAACTGTTGAAGCACAGGTGAAACTACCAATAAATGTGTTCATCATCTACTGTCGGAGTGTATCATGAAAACCCATGAGTTTCCCGTGCATTGGATTCTCATTTTTTTATTCGCTGAATCTTCAGGCAAAGTATGTTAGCAGTACTGATGGCTCACTCAGTAAAAACCTTTTCTTGAAGGTACATTGAAATCGTTAAGAGCATAATACAATTGCTCTGGATTCTTAATAAAACCATTTTAAACAATCTTACACCTTCACATTCCTTCCGTTTCTCCTTTGCAGGACAAGAAAAATCGGTTTTACATCGTTTCTGCTATGGTTGATACGAAAGTAGACATGAAAGGTAGGCTGGTTTCTACTTTTCCTTGCTTGATGGTGGCCACAATTTCGTGAAATTGAAGTCAGTGACTCAGCAGATTGGTAAATCTAGAAGTGTTTGCATATTAATGAGTTCTGTTCCATGTGACTTCTCATCCAAGCAGTTTTATCTCAGAGACTCGGTCTGGGAAAAGGAGGAATAAGAATGGCTCCTGAAGATGCACTTGGGGAGATATTGCAGGTGTGTGTATGTGTTTATTCAAAAATTTAGATCTTTTACTACGTAACATGTTGCCATGCTAGAAGTCTAGAACTTATTATCTCGTGATAGTGCATTTCATCTGTTGGTGAAATTTCCAGTGATTCAATAAACCTCCCCAACTGAACAACAAAAGTTCTGTTGCTGTTGGTAAAGTTGTTTCTTCATGTTGATTCGATTGAATGACTATCATGTTTTAAGTTAACACTTTTTATGTCTGCCAATTCAAGGTATCGCTTGGATGTGTTACCCCGTTTGCAGTTGTAAATGAATCAGCAAGGTATTTTCCACGTACTGATCTTTTTTCAGCCTTGAAACATGTCTATCGATGGTGTATATTAACTGGTAATCTCTTTCTGATTTTCTTGGTTAAAGAGATGTTTCACTCTTGTTAGACCAAAAATTCAAGAACCAAGCACGCTGCATCTTCCACCCGCTGTCGAATGAAGTGTCAATTTGTAAGTGGAAAGTCTTTTCAAAGTTTTTTTTTTATCGGTTCTTAAACCTTCAAGATGCAGTGTTGTCCATGCGGTGTAATAGTTTAGTTCGGTTCAAATTAAAATAGAGCAAAAGTGCAAAACCCATATCTAAAAACCTACCGGTTTTGTTGACGAATTGATCTGACGTTACTCATTCAACCCATTAAGAAAAGGGTTTGCTTTGTGTCTTTCAGATTGCATCCAAATCGATCAGTGTATCGATAAATTCTTTCTTTCTCTAGAATTTTCCTTCAAGTTTTACCTTACACATTCAGTTTTACTGTGATTTCCAGCACTCAACACTTCAGGTCTCGACAAGTTTCTCAAGTCATTAGGGAGAGAACCTGTTTACGTTGACCTTGAGGCAAACGCTCTAAACCTTAGCTTCAAAGCCTTTGTTTTGTTCTACAACTACGTTGAGCAACTTCATGAAGTGTAATATTTGTTTTTTTTTTCAGGATAACCCGCCTGTTGGTAAAGATCAGCCTCCCGATCTAGCCGCTCATGTTCCCTCTGGGTCAATTGTTCATCCCGAACTTCCAAGTAAGACACCATCCGGTCAGTGCTCTCCTGCAAATAATTTGCCAAAAGAGAAGAAGCCCGTCCCTGCTCCAGGTATGTACCAATAAGATTTGGGTTCTTTTTATGGCATTAATATCATCCAAATGATATCTCAACTCAAGTTGCAAATCTTCTATAGACTCCATTTCCTTGGAATGGTCATACAAGGAAGTTGGTATCCGACTTGGTTGAAAAAGTAATGGACCTAGTGGTTGTATTGTATCTAGTTAGTAGGGTTGGGAAAAAGTTCCGTATTTCGGGTATCCAACAGTTATATAAGATGAGATCGGTTTTGGTTATGAGGAAAACCCGACATTCGTATTTGGATTCGGATAATTGGATCCAAGACGGGTATTATCTGCATATACCCGAATGAAGAGTAAAAATTACCTTTTTATCTGGAGGTTTAAATAAACAACATATGTTTCTAAATGCAAATCTCTCGAAAGATTGGGTTCTGAGTTTGGGTAACCCGAAAATTTTGGTTACCCGGCCCGAGCCAACCCCTAATATATGATACGCATTTTGAAAATAAAAAATCAGGTACCTCGAAAGTTATCTCGGTATCTAAAGGTTGGGGGTATCTGACCAAAATGGATCTGAGATCAGGTAATATCTTGTGAAACCCAAGACATTTGATTTCGGGTTCAAGAAACCCAAAAATCTCGGGTACTCGATCCGTGACACCCACACTAGTTAGGGTGATATAGTTGATACCATTTCCCCTGTTCTTGGCATAATCACTCTCATTGTAAATGAGAAACCTGATTTGTTTTCTTCTATAACCCGGTTTCCTCCATCAATGCAGCCAAACCGAGCAAACTATCTGGTAACGTGAAGAGCGTTATGGAAAATTCAGCCCCTCTACCATTCAAGAACCCCGAGAATTTCGTGGAGGAGATTTTGGACAAGACATCAGCTCTATTGTTGTCCGAAGTAAGAAATCCTCTCTAGTTAACCGTCCTAAAGCAATCTCTGATCAACTCGGTTTATTCTTAACCGGTATCAAATTGTTACAGATTAAGGAAGATGGTGTCATGCAGCACGGTGACAAGCTTGGGACCGTTTTGGCAGACGCTCTCAGAAAACGCCTTGCTCCAGATCTCACCCACCTCGCCGTGAGTGTGTGTATGTTAACCGGGAAATTTGATATCATTGTCCGTTAACTGTTTTATAGCGGTTTCGGGTTATTGCAGATTATGTACAAGAATACGGCCTACACGGAAGGTTTTCACGCCGGTACTCGTCACCAGCCGAAGCGACTGTAGGTTCGGTTTGCGTGGTTAACCGGAGAGTACCAGGAAAGTGGACCGGTTACTTTACTTGGTTGGATTTTTCTTTCCTTTTGTTCCCAACATTTGAGTTAGACTGGAAATTTGTAATAGTCCATGATTCTAATTATTATATTTTTAAAAACGATCTATAATACAATTTGAATGTCTAAGAGGTATCAATCATTGTCGGATTTTTTTTTTAAAACAAAAAAAAGAATGAAATTATAACAAGGGATGAAACTTGTATAAATATAGAAATCTTGATATAATTTTAAATGATGTAATTTTTTTTTTGTATAAAATGTTACTTGTACGTTGTTAATATTTGAACATCTACAAGACCAATTTGTTTGAAAGTTTCTATAGTATACATAATAGGCTTGTTAATATTTGATCTTGTTGAATAATGTTTGTCGTGTCAGAGTTTTGCTGTGTTATCAAATATATAATTATTAATTATTCATCACTTAATTGTTAAAATCAAGCAAGTTGTAACGGGTTCATTCATTTTCATGACTTTCATAGATTTAAAATTTTAAAATTATTATGCTCTTGAATCCTCTGACGATTGGCAAGGAAGGGGATTGGAATGAACGGCCTTGTCAGCCATCCAATCAGCATATGACACGTGGACAATCACAATATCAAAACCACGCCGTGGAATTTCAAACCGGAAAGATAAAGATCCAGTTGCTTCGATTAGGATCGCTGCAGGAAAGAGCGTCAATGGCTTATGTCGAAGGAGGTATGGAAAACCTAAAATCTCTCACTATCTATCGAGTTTGAGATGAATTTTTTGCAAATTACTAGGGTTTTCAGACCTGATTGTTCGTGGTTAATCATGTAACCTAATCCGGGATCATCATGTTCCGCTATATTCTGTATATGTAGTCGGGCGTTATTTCGTCTTATTAGATTGTTTCATGAAGTAGAGAAATACGCGATAGGTGGTGGATTGTTATGTCGCGCACGCATGATGATTCTACGTACTCGTTGGAGTTTACTTTCGATATCTTTGGATGCCGGCCGGGGTTATGAAGATGAATTAGATTCGTCTTGTTAGGGATTGGGGATTCAGAATTTGTGACAGTTGTATTGAATGTCATGTTCGAGAGAAGACATGGAATTACGGTTTCTGTTTGGATTTCGAATGCCTGGAACGCAATAAGAACATCTTTTAATTTGCTGAGAGGTTCTGACATGAATGCTTCAGTTTGGCATTTAAGTGCTTGCAGGTTAATATTCGACTTGTTTGTCCTTTTGCTGTCTGGTTCTCCAATTAAGCTGATATCTATCTAGGTCTCGAGCTCGACAATCCCTTTTGTTCTTGTATTATTCCTTCTGTGCAAGTTTATAGAAATGCGAAACATCTACTGGTGAATGTGAGGCCATTACATCAGTTAAGCAGCCCTGCTGAAAGAACGAAATGGGATGAGCAACTTGTGTGTAAGAGTAATTGTTAGGTGAAATGCCGAGTTCATTACGATGTTTGAAGTTTGTTTTCCGAAAGAACATATGTGGGTTTGCAGTTCTTGACTGAGTAGTTGTTATCCTGAGATGTTTAATGGAAACAGACGAAAAGAGATATTTGTTAGAGTCCCACATCCGAAATATTTTGGGATAACTAAGTATATATAAGACCATGGACACCCTTCCCAACAAAACAAACTAGCTTTTGGGTTAGTTCTAACAATAGAGTTTGAGACTTAGTTGGGTCCATTATAGATGGATGGGTTCTATCAAATTGGTATCAGAGCCAACCGATCTTCGGATATGTGGATGACACGGTGGCACCAATAAGTCCTGGATCGAAATTAAGCTCTGATACCAATTTGATAGAACTCATTCATCCATAATGGGTCCAACTAAATTTCAAAGCCCATAGATAGAATTCAACCCAAAAACTAGTTTGTTTTAAGGAGTGTGCCCATGATCTTATATACATTCAATTGTCCCCATATATTTTCGATGTGGGACTCTAACAATATCATCTGTGGTTGAATGTTATTTGTGAATCATAGCCTTTGAGAGAAATTCTTTCCCAAAACTTTGTGAATAGAGTAGAAGTAGCTCGACATACTTTCAAGAGACAGAATGGATTGTGTATTAGACAGTAACTATCTTCTTAAACATCTTTTCAGGCGTGGTTAAATCCAAGCGGTCTATATGGAGACTTCGAACAATCACAGATTTCTTCTGGTCCGTTATCAATCTTGTACAAGTCTTCTTCATAACCATGTTCTCGGTAAGATTTCTTTCTACTTCCCTTCTCCCCGTTCATCGTACAGCATAGGTATGCAAAAAAATGTAGCCAAGCCCATCATAACTCAAGGCCTAACCAGAGCCATGACTCTACATTCTTCAGATGGAAAAATCGGATGCCTACAGAAAAGGCTCTGGCTCTAGCAAGAAGTGGGATGGTGGAAGTGGACCCGGTGGTGGTGGTGGAGGACCATATGGTGGCGGTCGTGGGCCACCTCGTGGTGGTCTCGACAATGTCCGTGGCCTGAGGGATGTCAATGGATCCGACCACGGTAAGTGTCTATCTTTTTGAATGGACATTTGTTTTTTGGTTCTTAAAGTTTATACAACATTGGACCCATAACCCGATTAAACTCGGTTGAAAACTTCAATCAAATTCACGTTCGGGTCGAGATTTAAACTCGGATGGCTGCAGACGATGCCATTCTAATATGTATTCAAATAGTTCGATTAAACCCGGTTGAAAACTGCGATTTTTGGTCGATATTTAAACTTGAGATGGTGTCATTCAACTACGTATTCGGTTTGGTTCGTTGAAAACGATGTTTTAGCTCGATCTCATGTATTTTCCAGGTTCTCTCCCGGCGTGTGGCTCTTGCTGCGGCTAAACGGACGGTCGTCAATTGCGTGAAATGTGCGAGATGTGAATATACTGGGGAAATCTTTATGTTCGAAACTTGAGACATTGCATAGGAAACGAAAATAATCGGTCGGTTCGTGTTGTAATTTCACGTTTTTGTCAAGGACTCGCTCGAACGTATCTCAATGCATTCACAAATTAGATTATTGTGTTGTTTTGATAGTAGTAAAACTTCGAAACTCGTGCATACAAAAAAGTTAAACCCATAAAAAAATTTAAATTTGTAACATGATCAAAAATTAATTTTAAATTTTTTGGTGGCTTTATTTTTCATAGGGATATGGATGTAGTCGTTGGTATATTTTCGTTTCTCATTAGAATTCATTGCATATAAGATGTGATATTGGTTTTGTAAGATTAGTTTTTATAAAATGCTAATTTTATATTGAAATGCAAAAAAAAAGAAGGGAAATTGTAAAGCACGAAATGAAAATTATAATTTAGAAACTTGAATTAAAGGCTATAATTAAAAAATCGTTGAATAAAATCATACGGGGTCCATGCTTCATTTGAATTGGACTCATAAAGCAAAAAACAAAAAACTTCTAAGAATAGAAACAAAGAAGAACAAGAATCACTTTCCTCGCTTCATGGGGATCCCACGTTTGGCCAATCAAGTGGCTAACCTTTGACCGCCGGGAAGAAGAAACAGAATCCCGAAATTGCCCCTGCCACACCATGCGTAGGTGAGTTGACTATTTTAGGGGTATTTACGTCATAATATTATTTAATTCAAGATTGAAATCGGATCAATCTTCGCATTAGATTCAATATAGATGCACACACCCAATATGTTCGTAAGTCACGTTAACTTAACAAGTTGATTTTGTCAAAAACATGTAAATGAGACTGCCATTTTTTCATAATACATTTGGCGATAAAATAATGACGTATGATTTTTTTTTTTTTATAATACGTGATTGTTAGGATTCGAACTTTCGGTATGAACAGCGTGTTGTGTTTCCACAACCACCAGACACCAACTTTTAGCAGTAATAATCTACGGTTAGAATTGATAACTATCATATTTAAGATAAAAACATAAATCTTATAATAATTTAAAAGTCAAACCCACATGCTAGGAGCAACAGGAGATCCCCGTTGACATTTTAAATTGCCATTTTCATATGAAATGAATTTCTTTTTTAATCCGAAGGTCAACCCTCCCTTAGAGAAGCGTTCACAAAAACCCGCATATAAAAATGGTCCAAAGTCAAAATTGCGTAACCACGTTACAGGCTGTAAAGCCTCATCGAATTAAATGTATCCCTCAATCCTTCTAGATCAACATTATTTTTTAAAAGGTTAAAAAATGTTACTGAATTGAAGAAGTTACGTTGCAGTAAAGAGTGTTTTGTGTCAGTGGGGGAAGCATCTTCTAGTGGCATTGTCGTGTAGTGCACATACCCTAAAATGCTGTAGGGCACATACCCTAAAATGCACCTCTTTTAATGGGCCAATTCTCAAGGTTGATTTAAGGGTATTATTGGAATATACAAAGAGAGGTTAATATGTTTTTTATTTTATTGAGTTTGTCTATCACTAATACTTGACATATTGTGATAGGAACTAGAGATTTCATGAGAAAAGAACTATGTTGTATATTTAAATTAATTCGATTATGAATAATAAAAAGAGAAAACCTTTAAAAAATATCGGATTTTTTTTAACTCTATTGAATTTCTCCAGCAAATACCCCTTCTCTTTGTCCTATTGTTTGTTGGTTCATTATATTAAAAAAAACTGGGCACCTTTTCTCATTGATATAATGTTAAACACATTTTTATTTTCCGAATTTCGTGTTGTTAAGATTGGGTTCCCAACCATTGCATCGAACAATTTATGTAATCCGAATCTGTGGCATTGACATTTACATGTCTAAATGTCATTAATTTTAATAATCGGAATGACACAAAAAAAAAAATCATATTAAAAGAAAAAGAGGACAAAGATAAATATTTCAGGAAAAAAGAGGGCGATCTCTTTTTTTCTAGAGCTTTTCGCCACGAGTCAGAGTCTCATGATATCCTTTTAATGTGGTGTGGACGGACCGTCAGCAGTGGCGGATCCAGAAAATTTTTTCACCGGGGGCAATACGATAATAGTAATATATATAATATACAAAATTAATAAAAATATATCGTCTAAAGAATATTTATATCGGATAACTGAATTTTACGTTTTTTATTTTTTAAATATATTTATGTAATTCAATTTCTAATTATTTTAAATATATTTTTGATAAAATAAATCAGATAATTTATAAAAAATTATGTATTCTCGTTAAAATTTTACCACAATATTAAGATAATATTACCAAATTATTTTAAAATAAATTTATCGATTTTTCTGATAAATCAAATAAAAAATTAAATAAATATATAAATATATATATAGATAAATTGATAAATATAATAAATACATAAAATCAAATAAAAAAATTGTTTAAAATAACAATCATAATTTTTAAATATGTTTAAATTTTTTTATTTATAGTTTTAGTTTGATTATTATTCAATTGATAATGATTTTTTGTTTGATCAAAGATAAAAATAACAACTTAAAAAATGGAAAACAAGAAAAAAAAGGAAAAAAATATGGGACATAAGATTTGATTTGTTAAATCTCGTAAAATACATTTAAAATGAAAAACGGTGGGGTCCAAACAAAATTTAAGTGGGGGCATTAAGGGTGTTTTTTTAGAATTTTTCTTAAATTCTATAAATAATTTTTAAAAAAATAAAAATTAGTGGGGGCCAGTGCCCCCACTCATTCTCAAGTGGATCCGCCTCTGACCGTCAGCAAATATTTTTGGTAGGGGTGTAAAACCGGTCCGACTGATTCCAGTCCGGATCATTCCGATCTGGAAAATTTTTAGTCTAGCCCAGTTCAATCCGTTTTTTAGCGAGCAGATCGTCTTAACTCGCGAACTAAACGAATCGGCCCGCGAGCCAAATATATGAATTTTTTAAAAAAAATTTAATACTAAAAAATATTTAAAAATAATTTTAATATATAATATTTTTAAAATATCTAAAATATAATAAAAAAATTAAAATTTTAAACAAAATAAACAAAATATATAATAAAAATAAAATTTGTATATATAAAAAATATTAAAATTTTAAAAAAATATATATTTGTTCTGCACGCGAACCAGACCAGATCGTGACAAAGTTCGGCTTATGACGAACTGACTCGTATGGTCTATTTTTTATGGACTCAAAATACTTGAGTCCAACTCGAAAAAATATGGATTGACTCACAAACGAGCCCGCAAGTTGGGCTCGTTTTACATACCGAATTTTTGGTTAATTTTGTTATAAATCGTGGGAATATTGAAATAAAATATTTAATTAAATTAACCATATTATTTTAGTGTAATTAATCATGTTTCATCGCTTTAAGAAACTCGCTGTGACTCTGTCTGCTTCAGATCGTTCTCTAAATGTCAGAGAGAGAGAGAGTTTAGTGAAGTAACTCAGATTTTCTACGGATCCATCTTTCTCAAGGTCGAAGAAAAGCATCTATGAAATCATTGTAATACATTATTACCCTTTTGCAAGAGCATCAACTAAAACCCCGTCTTCCATCCTCGCTCTCGAGAAGAAAACTCGAAGATTTGTTTTCTTTTTGGGGAGATTTGAACTGATGAAGAGCAAAACTCATCACCAGCAGAACGGCAATGGCGGCGGAGGAAGCGACAATGGATGTCGGAGCGAGTCCCCGAGCCCTCCTTTGTCGCCACGCCGCCGCGTCACCCGCCGTCTCGCTATCCGGCGAAACCTCCGGTACCTGCTCCTCCTTCCGATGATGTACGCCTCTGGGCTTCTCATGTGTGTCGGACCCTTCTCGGGTCTTGTCGGGTGGGCTCCTGTTCCGGGGTCGGTTTATCGAAGCCCCATTATTTTCCAGAAGCTCAGAGACGACATTTTTGCCGACAATTCTACCGCGATTGAGGTTCTTCTTCTGTTCTCTGCAAGATCATGTTTCTCTCTCATTTTTTTTTCTCCTTTTGATTTCGTCTTAAGATTGTTCTGTTTTTTGTTTTCTTTTTCCTGGGTAGTTGTCTTCTGTGTGGAAATACAAAAGAAGGCCAAAAATGCCGAAACCTTGTCCGAATTCGACAGCTTCATCACATCTTGGTCTGAGCAGAGGTAGAGAGAATCATTTTATGAATTTTCTGAAATATTCCTTTGAATATATATCAGATCAAGTTTCTGTCTTGTTTCGAGCTCTGATTCTGGACCACTGAGTTTTGTAGCTCTTTGGATTCAGTCTCGGGTTTTAATGTTTGTTTCGAACAGAAACAACAAGAAAATTCGTGAGAGATCAATTAAGGTTTGTAATTCTAACTTCTAAGTCATTGAACAAAGCCTTTGAACCAATGTGTTTGATGAAATTACAGAGCCATATGGTCCTAATGGCTACCTGATCGTTGCAGCAAATGGTGGCCTTAACCAACAGCGTTCTGCGGTACGGCTTTCTCGACTCGTACCATTCTCTTCTTTAGATTGTCGAAATTCTTACCCGTGACTATAAACTGCAACATTGTCGCAATATGTTGTCTTGTTTCATACAATGTTGTAGATTTGCAATGCTGTGGCTGTTGCTGGGCTTCTAAATGCAGTCTTAGTCATCCCTCGGTTTGAATTCCACACCATTTGGAAGGATTCGAGGTAAGAATGCAGAGAAATACCGATGCTCCGTGGCCCGTTTTTCCCGTTTTCTGCATTCCTTTTGGCCATGCCCTTTGGCATCTGGACTGAAAAAAAATACATGTTCCTGCGGCAGCACTTTTGGAGATATTTATGATGAAGATCATTTCGTAAGGACCCTTGAAGGTTACGTTAAAGTTGTGAGAGAGCTTCCGGATGAGATTATGGCTCGTTGTAGTTATAACTTTACGAGTATTCCGAACCTCAGTGTTGAAGCTTGGGCTTCTGCTAATCACTACATGAGGGAAGTTTATCCGGTTTTGAAGGACCACGGGTATGTTCACGTAAAGACGAAGTTTTACACGACGATTCTTTTCACAACTTTCAGAATGTATAACCGGGTATTATCGTATTTTCGATATAGGGTTATACGGATTTCCCCATTTGCTAATAGATTGGCGATGAGCGTCCCCCCATATATCCAGCTTCTTAGGTGCATAGCTAATTATAAAGCCTTAAAATTCTCTGTGCCTATATCGACACTAGCCGAGAAGTTAGTTGATCGAATGATCGAGAAAAGCTCAGACACTGGTGGAAAGTATGTCTCGGTTCACCTCCGTTTCGAGGAGGTAGCACTTCTTTCTATAAATTCTTACCCCTGAAGGCCTGAAGTGCTGTCCATTTACATTTACAGGTAGTGAAGAATGTATCAGCTGAACACAATTTTGAACTGTGATTTTTAGGACATGGTAGCTTTTTCTTGCTGTCTCTACGATGGCGGGGAAGCTGAGAAATCAGAAATGAATTTGATCAGACAGAAGGCTTGGAAGGGGAAGTTCAAACGAAGAGGTCGTGTCATTAGGCCTGACCTGAACCGGATTGAAGGGAAATGCCCCCTTACCCCCTTGGAGGTAAACTCATTGCCCTTTTATCGGGTTTGCTATACGGATATAAAGATGGGGACTTTTCCTTGAAAAACCATCAAAAGTTCAGTGATTTAGGTGTGTTTTCTGGTTCCATATCGTAATGAGCTGTCTTTCCATTGGTGTTTTCTTGTCACTACAGGTCGGTATGATGCTTCGTGGTATGGGATTTGATAACAACACTTCGATATACTTAGCCTCGGGAAAAATCTACCAAGCTGAGAAACATTTGGCTCCTCTCCGAGAAATGTTTCCCCGTCTCTACACAAAAGGGTCTCTTGCAACACCCGAGGAGCTTGCCTCGTTCGTGGTATTACCCCGGAACGGTTATAAGAAAAAAGACTAATCAGTTACGTAAATGTTAACTTGTTACTCGGGTTTGAGGTGTGGCCCTTTTCTTTCGGTTGCTGCCATTAGGGGTACTCTTCAAGAATGGCTGCTGTGGACTACATGGTGAGCTTGTTCAGTGAAGTGTTTGTGACTACTCAAGGTGGAAACTTTCCCCATTTTCTGATGGGCCATAGAAGATTTCTCTTCGGCGGGCATTCAAAAACGATCATTCCCGACAAACCCAAGCTCGTTCAGCTTCTTCATCACGGTGACATGAGGTACTGTTACCTCTTTTCCCATTCCAATGGATTAACATCAACATTTGTGACCTTAAATGCAGACAAGAACCGAACTTTGTCTGTTTCTAGGAAAGAGCTTGCAGAGTGAGCCACGCAACTGCAAAGCCTCTTGTAGTTTTGAACTGAACCAGTTACTGTAAAGCTTATTAGGTGTGTTCTCTAGTTCTTCAAAGCCAAAAGTTGACGTTTTTTCCTCTGATATGGAACAGATGGGAGGTTTTCAAGAAGGAGATGGATCTGATGCTCGGGGAGAGCGACAGAAAGGGCGTGATGGTACCGAGAATCAAGAAGATCAACCGAAAAACCTCTGTTTACGCATTCCCTTTGCCAGAATGCGAGTGTATCTTTCAATTATCTCCCAACTCTTCGACTTCAGGAGCTTCTCCTCCCACCCCTGATTAGCCCGTGATGAAAATGCGGTCTTTCACCGCGTTCTTTTGACCCTTGGACCAAAAATTTCAACCCAAACCAAACAGGCACAGGGGGGTTTTGGTGTGGACAAGAAGTGCAAGGAGAGCTTTTAGGGGATTGAAGTTGAACCATCACAAAGTCCGGTTCGACTTTTTCTCTAATTCTTGTGCTTCCATCGATTTTCAAATGTACAGAAAGTTAAATGAATTTGCAAAATTCTCTCAGATTCCTATATTCCATCCACTAATCCGACAGCAGTTTCGGATTATTGATGCTAACATGGCTTGTCGAAAATTTATGTCATCGCCCAAATATGCCATGTCACTAATTGAAATATAAAATTCAAAATTTTTTTAAAACTAAAAAAAAAAATTAAAAATCAAATATAATGTACCATGATGGTACTAATAGATGGATGAAATGAATATAAATCATGGGGTTTTTTGAGATCTTAAGGTCTCCGTATGGTTGAAAGAAAAATTTGATTGTATCGTTATAAAACTCGTATTGATGTATGATAGTGAATGTTGACGGCGGAAAGATAATACATATTCAAAATGAATGTGGTCGAGATTGAAATGTTGTGATGGATGTGGTAAGGATGGATAGAATATGAAATAAAAGTTTTAGAGAGAAACTAGGGTAGTATGAAAGATTAAAGTAGTTTAAACATGTAAAACGTAGAACGATAGATATTCCGTTTAGAAAAATATAAAGTATAGGAATGAGTATGAAGGATAAATAGGTGTAGATCTACATTTACTTGGAAAATGGGTGGTTAGCAATGACTTGAAAATGTTGTAAATTTCAAAAGATTTAACCCAAAACTGAACTGAATAGAAATGAAAAATTCGTATGGTGGAACCAAAATAAATTTCAGAAGATTTTGTATATATATATATATACACACACATATATAGATGAAGTTTTAAAAAAAGACAAAAGACAAACTCATACATATATAAGTACACATATATACACATAAACACATACATATATAAATACACATATACATATATATACACTAATATATATATATATATAGATACGCATGTACATATATATATAAATGCACTAATATATATATATATAATATATGTACATATTCACATATACATATATATATATACACATATACAAATACATATATATATATGGATTTTTTAGGCAGTGGCAAAAAAGTTTGAAAAACCTAACCTATATATATAAGGCATTAAATGAGATTGGATTATTCGAAAGTGGGAAATATAAAAATAATTTAACTGTTTATTTAATATTGTGTGTGGGGCCTATGGATAATGGGCGATATGTAATTTTCAAATTTAATAATTGGATGTAATTAGAGATATTATAAAGAAAATCCAAGATGGTAATAGGCTCTCTAGCTAACGAATGAAAAGCAGCGAGGTGATTGATTTACCACGTGGGTCAACACAATCGTTTGGAATGACGTACGGCGGCGAGATCCCGACAAAGTATCTGACGTAAGCTGATGACATGGCACTGATTGTCACCTCGATGTTCCTATTGTGGGACCCACTGTCTCTGGTCGAGAACTTGCCAGAGGGTCGAGGGAATCGTACATTATTACCCACACATATACATCTATATATACACATGAATACACATATATATATATATATACTTATATATATATATATATATATATATATATATATATGAGTTAAATTTATATATTTATTTAAAAAATTTAAAATTCTTGTATTTTTTTTATAAATTCGTGTATTAATATACGATTTTCATTTTTCTTTGAGCTCGCCGGATTTGGAAACCGGAAAAAGATTCGTGAATTAATTCCTTTTTCATCACCATCATCATCAAATTCTTGATGAGGTGGTCAACAATAAATATTTTTTAATCCTTAAACGAAAATGTGTCATCATTGATAATTTAGATTAGGGAAATCCTTTAAAAAAATACTTTTATGAAATATGCTGTAAAAATACACGAATTATTAACTTAACATGTTAATACAATAATGTCTCAATATCTCACAAATTCCCACAGGTCGTTATTACACGATTAATTGAGTCTTATGTATTATTGATGATTTACATATTATTTTATTATTTTTCCTATTTACATATTACATATAATAATCCTCCTTTTCTCAATTAATAATTAAGACCTGCATATAATAACAACTCGTGGTTCAAATAAATACCGCTTTACTGCTAAAAAGAGTAATGGTCAAGACCCGCGTGCGTTACAAACAATTAATGTTCTTTTCTTCAAAGTGAAACAATCCCATCCTTTAATTTAAATAATTTATGGAGTACAATTCCAATTTAATTAATAAAAAACATTTCACATTCCCATAACACAAACAAAAAGAGGGTCTGTGTGTTTGAACGTAGCTTTTGAACAAAATGGTGGGGTTTTCATGCAACAGTGTCATCACCAACAACTAACACTAATAATAATAATAACACTAATAATAATAATAATAATAATAATACTTAAAACATTAGATCCTTCTCCATCAGTTTCTACTTTCTAGCTGTGAGATTTGCTATTGTCACTTATAGGGATGGATATTTTGAATTTTTGTTAGGGTTTAATTTTAGTAGATTGTGTAATAAATTTACAGAACTTTATGCGGAAATTGACGTCACAAAGATCAAACGACATGCTTTATCAAGAACAAACAAATAGGAACGATAAAATACGTACCTGAATCTGTCATCATGTTGACACAAACGAAACCCGGTTGTAGTCTTCTGGATCTTTACGCACTTTCAGACTTACAGACAAATGGGAAGAGTGTAAGAATATTTTGTGGTTTTCCACTGTACGTATGATCCAGGGACCACTACCATTTATAGAATTAACTATCTGATATTTTCTAAAACGCCCATCAAGTTATAGGAAATTACTTTTTGGTATCTGCATATTAGCTCCTAAACCTTTACCGAAATTACGATTTAGGCAGATTTCATAAATGACCACATTTATACCTCATCAATAGCTACCGTTACAAAATCCATGATTTAAATCTAATATTGAATCATATTAATTGCGAATATTTAGAAAATATTCTAACAGATTGTTTTTTGTTTTTGATTTTTCAGTTTTAAAAAAACTATATTCATCATTTTTTTTTCTTCTTTTAAATCCGGTTTGATTCTATTTTAATGATGACAATATTCATTTTCTAAATAAATTTTCAGCTTTAAAAAACTATATCCACTCATTTTTTTTCATTTTAAATCCGGTTTAATTGTAACTGCGTTCTATTTCAATGATGAAAATATTCATCTTCTAAATAAATTTTCAGCTTTATATAATTATATGGCATTAGATTCAAAGCGATTTTACATCATGGTCACCCTAATGACATCTCCCGCTTTCGAACATGAAAATTGGACGTGCCATTATTTTCAATGAGCATATAGAGAGCAATGGCCACAAAAGTCATCGAGATCTCGTTCTCATGGTCAAGCAAACCCATGTGATCACCACTCACAGTCTCACACCCACATATTAGAGAGAAAGAAAAAAGAAAAGACAAATATGATTAAGATTGATTATAATATATATATATATATATATATGTCAATTTCAAGAAACACTTGGTGTGTTTGGTTTGATTTTATTATCTCCCTCCCCCGATGTTTTTGTCTGTTTTCCATCACTTTTATTTCGCAAGTTATAAACCAAATTGTAGATACGATATCTTGTAATGATTGGTCTTTGTTAATCCAAAGATTCCTACTATCATTACAGATCATTGTTTTATTTACTTAATCTTTTTCGATCGGGTAAATACATTACTTAATTAATTCTTTTTTTTACATAGTCTCTTCTGGTTTGATCATGGCATAATTTATAATAAAGTGTATATATATATATATATGATTGATTTTTCCATAGGTTTTTTTTATCCAAATCAACGTTTATTGGCAAACATAGATATATATTTATAAAATATCACCAAATCCGTTAAGCAAATTTATTTCTTTTCTAATTGAAAAATTATCTTTCTTTTCATATCAAAATATCGAAAATAATCATTTACAGATGAGTCTAACGAGTCAGTATTTTTACGACTTAGACGAGCCAGCTCGCCACCTCGTGGTTTGTCGAACTAATTCATATTTTTTTAAATTATATATTTTTATTTATATTTCTATTTATAGAAAATTAATACTTAATTTAATTTTATTGATTATGTATATGTTTTTTCTTTTATATACTAAGTTTGATATTTTAATATTTAAATTTATATTAATATATCATTTTATTTGAATATTTTTATAATATAATTAAAAATATTATAAATGTCTTTTGCTCGATGACACAGCTCGTGAAATTGGCGAGTTGAGTTGAGTAAAAAAAATTATTAAAAAATAAGTCTGACGAGGTGAAGCGAGTCGAACCAAATGGACTAATTTGACACCCCTAAATTTTAATAAATAGTTATAATTTATTTTAGAAACAAATAAAATTACGGTATCTTAAAGATAACACTATTTCACTATAAAGAATTTGCAATTGAATTCCCCAAAGCTAACCCTTTTTGATAATTTCAAGTAATTGTTTAGATTTGTACTTCATGTAGTTAGAGTATAGGGGAATTTTAAAGTAAGCAAGAAAAAAAAAATCATATGGTGGTCCATGTTTTGTGATTATGGTTATTTCTTATGCAATCAAAGGTTCATAATCATAATCATGAGCTGTCAAAGTGATTTGATTTGGTAAATCAAATAGTTTGGTCAATTATAACATTCTGTTCCTTTTCCTAATCTTATATTCTTGTCATATATATGATGCCTTTAGTTATTATTCCTACTAAAATTATTACCACAGTTATTTCATTATATCATCGATTAAGACTATGTACAGTAGCAGTTTTTATTTTTGGCTTTTAGATTTTATAAATTTATAAATCTAAAAAATTGTGGTTTTTGGTTTTTAGTTGATTTTTTTCCATAAAATAAATTTTTGGGTTTTTAGGAAAACCAAAATTTAAAAAACTTGATTAACGGTTTTTTCAGTTTTTTAAATCCAAAAACTCCGAAATCTCTTCCCATTCAACACTTTTGAGTTTTTAGATTTTTTTTATATAATTTTTAGTTTTTGATTTTTGGATTTTGGATTTTGATTTTTAGTATTTCAAATTAAAAAAAAAAGTGAGTTGTTTAATTTTTTGAGTTGATTTTTTCATCAAAGTATTTTTCAAATTTTTAGAAAACCCAACTTTATAAAACTGGTTATTTTTTGGTTTTTTAAATCCAAAAACTCTAAAAGTTTCCGTTTTAGAATTTTATCGTGTGTATATATATATATATGGCGTTTTATTTTTGGCTCTTGATGTTTTGGTTGGACCCGTTTTGCTGCATTAACCAACAAGAGTTTTCATGAATTAAATTCGTCGACGAATTATCTATCAGAATAAGATTACAATAAATTCACATCGGCAGTTAAATAAAGACTATAAAATGAGATGACGAAAAAAAAAAGCTTGGAAAATACACATTTGGTCGGTGTCGCTATGGCAGGAAAGAGGAGGCAGGCACCGCAATTAACTGCCACGTGTCGTCCATGTAGCGATCAAACAATTGCGAAGCTGTGCATACATATATATACACATTTATGGGAAAATTCTACAAAAATTCCTAAGTTATTAAAAATGTACTACAAAAAATTTCCAATTAAAAATTCGACACATAAATTTCTCAATTCTAAAATTGTTTCAAATTGATAAATTATTACCCATGAACAAATGGGGTTAATTTGCCATGTTAAAATCTAAAGTGATTAAAAAATTCGTCACATCACGTACAAATTTAAGAGAAAATTGTATAAATTTATATTTTATAAATATATATATCTCCTTTACTATATTTGTAATACGTATAAGAGATGAGATCTTGTGGAAGATCCTTTAACAAATCTAATCAAACGTTTACTCTAAAATATCTAAAATATCTGATAGCTTAGAAAATTTCTAATAAATTCGAAGATTTTTAGATTAAAAAAATTATGATATACAGTAGTCTAATTTTATGTAATTTGATCCAATAAACATAGATATAAATATTATTATTTGTTAATCAATAAATAAAACAGTTTTTTTCCTATTTGAAATTTCTAAAATTTGAATAAAAATTACAAGTTAAGTACAACATGTTGAGATTTGGACTGACACCTCATATGCCGGAAAACTCAATATCTGTTTTAGTTCTTCCGAAATTACAATATTTATCAAGAAATAAAATAACCTTGGAGTTGCATCGAAATGGCTAAGGTGGTTGTAAGAAACACGAACAAAATTATTTCAAAGAATAATAGAAATATGGGTAAAATAACACTAATAAAATAGGTTAAAAGGGATATATATTAATATTTGATGCATGAAAGATTCGATTCATAAGAAAATGGACAACTTGAAACCCAAACAACGAGACACCCATCATCGCCTGCATGATTGGCATCAGCACAATTTGAACGGTCCACTCTCTTATATCATTTTCCATATTCTACGAAAACACAATATATATATATACACACACACATATGCCAACTATGCCTTTGATTGATATAAAAATTAATAACGCAACAGTCTTATTTGAAATGTGTGCTGTATATGCACACAACTATATATATATATATATATATATACACACACACAATCCCAGACAAGAAAAAAAAAAGGAATACAATCTCAGAAATTCAAACCCACAAATTGAAATACTCAACAACAAAATAAGAGACCAATTTACGACAAGAACAGTCATATGAACGTTATTTTTTAATGTTTAATTTTTTATGGGAATAACCCTATATATATATATGCGCGCTTGCGTGGCGTGTTACTGGTCTTCCACGTGGCAAAAATTGAATGGGTGGACCGCTTCATAATTGTACACCCCGCAGCATACAGACAAAACTTCTGCGACCAAAGTCATCCAAAGGAGAAAATTAGGGACGTTATTTTTTATTTTGCGGGAAACTATGACCGATTCTTTAAATCAATTGGTTTTATTTTTTTAATAAAGCGGACGGACAAGTTATGAGACATTCGAATATAAAAAGTATCAATATTCTCCACGACCAGAAAAAAAATTACTAATATTCTCAACAAAATTTAAATATACAATTCCACGAAACAAATAAATATTGGTAGAGATATACATATACGTATACTTTTTGTGTTGCTTGTTTACATTCTAATGCTATTACAACACGCATACATTAGAACAAAAAATATTCGATATGATCTGTTTTAAATTTCATTATGTTCGTTCTCTTTTCCGTATTATTGGAAATTTACAAATATATATATATATATATATATGTCTGACTCGTTCTCTAGAGCCACGTCAGCAATCACCGCATGAATTTAATTATATATCTATCTAATTATAAACCCACAAAAACAAAGATTAGAATAAAGTAAATTAAAGAAGGAATAATTTATTTTATCTTGTTTTTCATTTGGTTTATTAAAATCGCGTCTCTCCGGTTACTGGTCTTGTGCTCCTACCGAACTTCTCGCTTTCCTCGCTGACCCGTTTTCTCATCAACTGCCTCTCTCTCTCAACTTCTAGAATTTCAATCTCTGCTCTCTCTCATGAACGCCGATTTTCCCTCCTCCGCCGTAATTGCCGTCGTCCGCCGCATCTTCATCGTTTCCGACGGCATCGATCTCTCCGTTTCCTCCTCATCCTACTAGGCACCTCGCCACATGCATCCCTTCTGTTGCGTTTCCACTGTCTCCGATCACTCCCCTTCCAAGCCCTTACCGGAGCCTCCGTCTCCGATGTACGCTGCCACCTCCGGAGACCCCTGCGCTTCCGCGAGATCCGAATCGGTTATGAACCGATCCGCGTCCCAGAGATGCAACCATTCCTCCACTCAATCTAATCACCATCTCCTCCTCCATAGCCTTTCCTTCAATCACCAGAGCGACGTCGCCGACCGCTTAGGGCAGCGCATCCTCGCCTTGCCGCCGTCGGCGAGGGAGCCGCCGGTGGATGCGAAGATCAACGATATTGTCGGAAATGGGATTGCCGGGATACTGTACAAGTGGGTAAACTATGGGAAAGGATGGAGGCCGAGATGGTTCGTTTTGCAGGATGGAGTGTTGTCGTATTACAAAATCCATGGGCCCGATAAGATCGTCGTTAGTCCTGAGACCGAGAAGGGATCGAAGGTGATCGGCGACGAGTCCATGCGTATGATCTCCAGGCACAACAAGCACCACGGCATCAGCGGCGGCAATCATCAGTTCCGTCGCAAGCCTTTCGGCGAAGTCCACCTAAAGGTATGATATGAAATCTGTTCACTCGATTCGTTTTTGATAGGGAAAGACTGTAATTCAAGTGGGGCTTTATCCGTTCTGTTAGGGGAATCGGATTCATTCCTTGAAATCCGAATTGTTTGCTACTGAAAGTTGATTCAATACTTTCTGTATTGCTCGTCCCCAATCCTGATTGATGCAGTTGACTGTTCGAGATCAATTCTTGTGGTTCTCTGGTCACGGCATATTCATTTTCGTGATGTCTGTTATCTGTAGGTTTCGTCAATTCGTGAGAGCCGATCAGATGACAAGAGATTTTCGATATTCACAGGGACAAAGAGGCTCCATCTTCGTGCTGAGACTCGAGAGGACCGAGCAGCTTGGATGGAAGCACTTCAGGCTGTCAAAGACATGTTTCCGAGAATATCAAACAGCGAGTTGATGGCTCCAACCAACAATTTAGCTGTCTCAACGGAGAAGCTAAGGCAGCGGTTGATGGAGGAGGGAGTGATCGAGTCGGCCATTCAGGACTGTGAACAAATCATGAGGTCTGAGTTCTCATCACTTCAGAGCCAGTTGGTGCTTCTCAAGCAGAAGCAGTGGCTACTCTTCGATACCCTCAGGCATCTAGAGGTACTGTAAAGCTAACACAACTGCATTTGGTTGTCTTCGTAATGGATGCGCTCTTGGATTGTACTTTTCATGTATAATGCGGTGAACTCTGCGATATGCTTCTGTTTCATATATATCGGATTTTATAGCCTGTAATGGTCTTTTGCTGTTTTAAAGGAAAGTTGTCAATGAGTCAATTTTCATATGCTACTTTGTTGTGTTCTGTTGTTCTAGGGCTTTCTGTAACCTTATGCGATCAGTTTCTCCTGTTTTCTCTGTGGACTCTTTTATGGCTACATTCGGCTGACAAACAGCTGTCTTTACGTTATGCTGTAGACAGAAAAGGTTGATCTGGAGAATACAGTTGTAGATGAGAGTAGACATCCCGACAATGGAGCTTCCAGTGATTTAAGGCATGAGAAGTTTAGTGGTGAGTCACTGTTCTTCCAGTAATACAGTTGAGTTCTTTCGTTGTTTTAGGACGTGCTGTAAAGGTTGATCTGGAGAATACAGTTGTTTCATCAGCGTTTTCCTATAAAGCTATACCCTTGGGTGTCCCATTGACTAGCTCTTTTACTTGGAGTTGCTTTTGACTTGGCTTTTTTCTCCTTTCTGATCTTCTTTTACCTCAGAAGGGACTGCAAGTGAATCCGATGATGATAATGAGCGAGTTGATGCTGCAGAGGAAGAAACTGATGAGGAAGAAAATACATTTTTTGATACGCGTGACTTTCTGTCTTCAAGTTCTTTCAAAAGTAGCGGATCTGGTTTTCGGACATCATCATTTTCTTCAGATGATGATGGGCTCAATGGGTTTGAGTCGGACGATGATATCGATCCTTCTTTCAAATCTGTTGGTTTCAGCTATCCTCATGTCAAACGGCGGAAGAAACTACCTGATCCAGTTGAAAAGGAGAAAAGCGTTAGCCTTTGGTCAATGATCAAAGACAACATAGGGAAGGACCTTACAAAAGTATGTCTTCCTGTCTACTTCAATGAACCTCTCTCTTCCCTGCAAAAATGTTTTGAGGATTTGGAGTACTCTTACCTTCTTGACCGGGCATCTGAATGGGGGAAAAGGGTAAGTCACTGAATGATCATTACAATAAAATTCTTAAGATATCCCCTAAACCTTGCTCAGTACATTTAACATTTCAGGGTAATAGCCTCATGAGGATTCTTAACGTAGCTGCTTTTGCTGTATCGGGTTATGCATCAACCGAAGGAAGAGTCTGCAAACCTTTTAATCCATTGTTGGGGGAAACCTACGAAGCTGACTATCCTGATAAGGGCCTTCGATTTTTCTCAGAAAAGGTTTCATTTCTAGTCCCGTGAAACTCTTTTCTGGATCTGGATTTCACCAGTGAACTGAAAGATGCATTAGCCACAGATTTTGTTCATTTTGGTGTCAGGTCAGTCATCATCCTATGATTGTAGCATGCCACTGTGATGGCACTGGGTGGAAATTCTGGGGTGACAGCAATTTGAAGAGCAAATTCTGGGGTCGATCAATACAGCTTGATCCTGTTGGTGTATTGACTTTGGAATTTGATGATGGAGAAGTCTTCCGTTGGAGTAAGGTATTATGAACCGGATTTCATCAGCCAGATGATCATTCTATGTAGTAAGGTACCCACTGTGGTTACTTTTTCCTGCTTGTAGGTAACAACATCAATATACAATCTAATACTTGGTAAATTGTACTGTGACCACTATGGTACAATGCGCATTGAGGGTGATGGTGAATACTCATGTAAACTTAAATTCAAGGAGCAGTCCATCATCGACAGAAATCCTCACCAGGTGCTGCCACTTTAACTTCCAAAAGCTCGATAAGTTCTCTTACCCTCAGTTTCAGCGATTATGATCTGAGGAAAAATTTACCGGCCGAGTCCCAGGTTCAAGGTATTGTACAGGACAGGACCGGGAAAACAGTGGCCACACTCTTTGGGAAATGGGACGAGAGCATGCATTACGTGAACGGTGACTGTACTGGGAAGGGAAAAGTGAACGAATCTCTTTCTGGGGCTCATCTCCTCTGGAAGAGGAGCAAACCTCCGGAGTTTCCCACAAAGTATAATTTGACCCGTTTTGCCATTACACTGAACGAACTCATACCCAGCTTAAAGGTGAATGGCCCCCTGATTTCTTTTCAGGTAAAGTTTTTGAAAGAAAAAAAAATTCCACTCAGGTTGCCTTCATTCTTGTTGCCTTGCAGGAGAAGTTACCGCCCACGGATTCAAGGCTCAGACCTGACCAAAGCTACCTGGAGAACGGAGAGTTCGAAATGGCTAACGCAGAGAAACTCCGTCTGGAACAGCGACAACGCCAGGTGAGCCCCCTCCTGAATTTGGCTTTTTCTCAGTCATTTCCCTCGCCTGAATGAATATAAGCACAAAAGCATGGATTATATTATATATATATATATAAGTGTGTCAATCTTCATTTAAAGTTTGGGTGGGTGGGTAGGCGAGGAAGATGCAGGAGAGGGGGTGGAAGCCGAGGTGGTTCACGAAGGAGAAAGGGGGCGAGACGTATAGATACATGGGCGGATACTGGGAAGCTCGAGGTATTGGACGCTGGGATGGTTGTCCCGACATCTTCGGCCATATCCCTTCCGACCACCACCTGTTAGAGTAGTTGCCCAAATCTCTCTCCTCCCCCTCAACCGAGGAAAAATAAAATGCTCCAATCTTCTTCTTTTTATAGCTAATCTTTCATCGGAGCTTTCCCACTATTTTTTGTCGTTTCCTTCCACTGAGTACCCACTCGCACTCGATTTATGTAAAAAAAAAAATTGATAAAATACTTTCCCAAAAAGCCTTTAACGAGGTTCTCCCCATGTACCGAAAGAATGCACAATCCTTTGCAAGTGAAGGGATGAAATCTGAGACCCTTTTACCTGTTTGGCTGTACTCGTGTACAATAATAAGGGGGAAAAGATTTAACAAGGAGCAGCGTGTGAACTTTTCGTAAAGTCTTTTGAAGTAACCGTTCGATGGCAGGGAAACAAAAGTTTCTAAATTGAGGATTTGGGCTTGGGCTTACGCATCGTACTATACCTTAATTATTTTAAAAAATAAATCAAAATACCTTAATTATTTTCAAAATTATAATATTGTTAGGGAAAATTCCCAAAAAAATCTCTAGAATAAGACGGTGTTAGTGTGCCGTTGAATGAGTAGCTCTACTTACGTCCGCAGGTCACCCAAGACTCGCCCCGACTTTTTCCACCTGATAAATCTCCATACACATATATACCAACGCCTTCTTTTTTTTTTCATAAGATTACATGATACGACATATCACATACAATACAAATCATATATATATATATATATATATATTTATACAACAATGATACAAGGATAGATACTGCAAAGCACATTCGCAAAGCTACAGCAATGATATGCAAGTTTTCTCCCTTCCTTCTGTGTCTTCTCTTTCATCAAGGAGGAAAAAAAATAATCAATTGAAAGAAAACAGACTCCTTACCCCTACAACTTCCAATCATTGGCTCTAAGACAGAACACAACAACACATAATAAACCTATCAGCAGTTTCTGCTCTCTTGTTTGGCTTCGAACCTGCATTCACCCATTCGATGATCTGTGCCAAAGCAGTGAATGGGTTTAATCCCAAACCCGACGATTAAAAACTGGGTCTTCGCAACTCGCAAATATCGGGAAATATCATTCTTGAAGAACAGAGGAAGTGCATGCATTATCGGATATAGGCTTTATCACTTGCATCTCTCTATAAATAAATAGTATGAGAACCTTTGTTGTCTCTCTAACGAAACAGGCAGATTACCTGAAGAAGTGGCAAGCCAAAACTGGGATGTAAGGAACTAGCCTTGACCACCGAGATGTTGAGAGCCAGAGCCGGGGGGTGATTGTAATGGCCTCCTGACAAATGGGTGGTTTAGGAGTTCAGCAGCGCTTGGACGCTCGTCGGGGTTCACATTCAGACACTGAAGGATAAAATCCCGAGCCTCTGGGGAAAGAGGGTTGGGCACAGGGG